TTTAAACATTTTTATTGAAATCATGTATTTTTTGTAAGAAAAAAATTCAATTTAACATTATTTTTCAATTAAAACATTGTTTTTTATTTTTTATTATTGATTTAAGATATTATTTGTGGATTTTTTTATTTTTTTCTTCAATTAAACATGATTTTTCAATAATTTTTTTTTCTTGTTTTCTTTTTAAGATGTTATTATTTTTGGATTATATTATACTTTTTTTTTTTTTTTTGAGGAATTTGGCACTTCAGAGAAGAGCGTAGCACTGCACGGTGTCCTGGGGCAGGAGGATGAGAGGGCAGATTTTGCCCCTGCTGGTCCTTTATGTTCCAGACTCCGGAGTTACTGAACCTCAGTGTTGCCCAGTGAAAGCCCACTCCAAACCAGCCCGATCTTCCCGTTCCGCTCCGGCACAGACATCTGTCTGTGAGAGTGTGTGTGTGGCCTGTGGGGGGAGAGGAGAGACAACAGAAGGTCCTGTACGGGCAGGTTTGGCCATCATGACAAACAGAGCTCAAATCTTCACTCGCATGTGCTTTATGTGAAGTGAAACACACACGTGAGCTGAAGATGTGGATCTGTGTTCTAGATAGATAGATAGATAGACACTCTATGAAACAATGAATTGTACACATTTTCAATTTGCCGTGAGTTTGCTTTACAGTCTTTAACATGTGATTGCATTGCCGTTGCCCTAGTGTTGACCTTTGTAAATAATCTTGGTGTACAAGAGCAACAGCCGCTCTTCTCAGGTCTGAAAGAACCAAACGTAACGATATTGATCATCCACAGGATGGTGCGATTTGTGTGTAAATGGCTGCTAAAGGTTATCGTATCGTTTCTGATGCTGTTCTTTGCTGAAAGGTTACACAAGATGAAATAAGGAAATAAGTAACTTGAGGTTTTAAGAAAAAAAACATCTCTTTGCACTGATAGCAGTGAATTCTGTGTGTCAGCGTCTCCGCTTCATTATTCTTATGTGATGAGCATAATTACGACATGCAAAACTTCTGTAAGTTTTACTTAGCGCTGAGAGCAATTACCATTTCTACAATCAGCCAACTATTAAACATTTATTTTTGAAGCAGCACTGAGAATATACTAGCAGTTAGCCAAAATAATTCATATGAATATTTCTCTAAATTTGTCCGCTGTAATGAGTGCGGCGGTTAACTAACTCTACACATATAACCCCCCCTCGTTCTCTCTGGTGCATGTGGGTGATTCGTCTGTAATGGTGGTGGCTCTGAGAGCTGGCACCACAGATGGCACACTGGGACCCGCATTTATCAGAACGCCATAAATCTGAGACTCCGGCAGTTGCTGCAGGCGTGAAGCGGGCGCCGAGTCTGGTGCCAACTGCTGCGCAGACATGCCGGCTCCGGTCCTTGAGTGGGGCATCGCGGGCTGCTGGAGGAATAGGATTATCTCAGGGGTCAGCGGTCTGCGTCTGCTGGATGTGCTGATATGTACGGCGATATCAGGACTGTGGGGATGTAGAGAGTCAAAGCGCTTAGTGAACAGCCCACTGAACGTTAAAGGGGCGGCTCAGCCAAAAATGAACATCCTAATGTTGATCCAAACTTGTGACTGGCGTATGGTGACCACAAAAAAAGCACCATTTAGTCCATACTAGGGATGCACTTGCATAAAAGTATTATTAATTATTTAAGTAATTAATAAGTAATTATTATTATTAAATACTTTTTTATGTTTTTTATTGTACAGTACGATAGTATATTTCTTTATTCATTTGTTCTTGTTTTTTGGTGATTTAATAAAATTAAAATAATATTTAAATAATAATAATAACTATTATTGTTTTATTTTAGAATTATTCTTATCATTATTTAAAACTTAATTATTAATTTTTTACAGTCCAATGATATTATTACTGTAGTCATATTTCCTGACTGTTAATAAAATAAAAATAATATTTAGTAATAATAACTATCATTTTTTTATGTAATTACTATAGTGAAATTTCTTTATTGGTTTAATTTTATAATTTAATAAAATAAAATAATATTTAAATATTATTAATATAACAATAATAATAACTATTATTATTAAGAACTTGATTATTTTACACTACACTAGTATTACTATAGTAATATTTCTTTATTGGTTTAATTTTTATAATAATAACATTATTATTATTATAAACTTGTTTATGGTACAATAGTATTATTACTATAGTAATAATTCTTAATTGGTTTAATTGTTGTTATTACTGAGTAAAATAAAATATTTAATTTATATTATTATTAACTATTATTATTATTATTAATAATAAAACTTATATTTATTTTGTAGTATTTTGAATATTTATTTTGAAGTACAAGTCCTTGGTCCGTACAACTAAATTCCAAGTCTTCTGAAGCGATATGATAGCTTGGTGTGAGGAATTTTCTCTTTGAAAATTCTATTTTATTGCACTTTATTGACTTTTATGGAGCTCATCAGCCTCCGATCACCCTCCACTTTCATTATATGGAAAAGAGCTACATGAGCATTCTGCTAAACATCTCATTTTCTGTTTTATGGAGGAAAGAAAGTCATACTATGTGTTTGACATTACATTTATGGTTTATCTGTCCTTCCAAATGCATCTTCTAGACAACAATAAGATTGAACAGAAAGCAAACTGAGATGTTTCTTCTGAAAAGAAGATCTTGATAATCACAAGTGTCTGTTTTATGGTTTCACAAGAAATTATTCCTCTAAAGTGATGCCTAAAGGTAGTTTTTCAGGGTGTTGCTGCAGGTACAGATGAACATGTCTTCATAATGCCACCACAGAGGGACATGCGTGTGCTTTCCTTTGTGCTGACAGGCAGCATCCCACCGGGCATCTGACACCACAGACTCACTGTCTACAGACACAGTTTGCAATGGCTGTTGAAAACCAAAGCAATCTTTTTAACATGCCATTTTGAGGGCAGCATCACAGTTCTCTCTGATCTTACACACACACAGAACTGACTGCATGAAAGATTGCATTGATTGCCCTCATTCAGTTTAGCAACACACACACAGTCTCTCTCTAACACCAGCGGGCACAGGGTGGTTCACTCCCTCACTGCAGACAGACTGTGATGGCCGCGTGTGTGTGTGAGGCCATATGTGGCTGTGTATGTCTGTGTGTATGTCTCTGTGCATTTGTGTGTGTGTGTGTGCGCTGGCCTCAGGCTCCAAAACGTCCTCAGAAAGGGTCTGTGAGCGAGGCTGCCCCGCAGGAAACCGTGACATTACCTGAGGCGCCACTGGGCCCTCTTACACTTCACAAAGTGAAAAATCACATCAGAGCGTGTGAGCCGACACACACACACACACACACACACACACACACACACACACACACGCACACACACACACACACACACACACACACACACACAAACACACACACCCATTTATATTCACACCTAAATGTCTCTAAACACACCAACTACGTTTTAAAGATGTTTGCGGTAGAAGACACTGATGGATGTGTTGATTTGATTTTGGCATTTGTTTTTTGCAGATGATGATGTCACTTCCTGTGATATCATGCCACAGCTGAGACAGTTGCTTGGTTTGGCATGTAATAATAGTCTAATTGACTCGTGCGGCAGATCGATAAAATATTGCAAAAAAAAAAATCAGTATTTTTGTCTTGTGTTCGTGTAATAATTTCTAAACACACTTGAGAAGCAGCACTGTGTAAGATGACTTGTTTTCACCTAGTATATAAAGTTAATTCACTCTAAAAATAGACTCGAAATTCATGATTAATTTGTTTAGGGGTTTAATTATCATACAAACACACCTTTATCTGGAAGGTGAATCTGTATTATGACAGAATCTCCAGGCTTATTGTATGTGCAGCCTATTTTTGTGTGTAATAATGCACATTATACAATGTCTTAATGTTTCTACTGTATTTTTGCCACATAACATTTTTAGGATGCATGTTTATGCATTCAGATAGTGTCATCTAGCTATTATATACATGGTCATTTTTTAATGCAAGTTTGTCAGTCTGATCAAATAATGAGGCAAGAATGCAATGGCTAATGTTGCTTCTGGTTCATTTTTCACAGGTTTTGTTTTTCAAGTTGACCGCAGTGCACTGTGGGATAGAATACTGACATCACATACACATCACATAAAGCAAATATTGCAGGTCATCCAGGTATTTCATGCATACATGCGGCAAATTCATTAGAAATACTGTAGAATTGCACTACCATTCAATAGTTCAGATTTTTTTTTAATGTTTTGAAACAAGTCTCTTCTGCTCACTAAGGCTGGATTTATTCGCTCAAAAATGCTGTAAAAACAGTAATATTTAAAAAATATTATCACAATTTAAAATAGCTGTTTTCTATGTGAATATCTGCTAAAATTAAATGAATTGCTGTGATGCGCAGCTGAATTTTCAGCATCATTCCTCCAGTCTTCAGTGTCACATGATCTTCAGAAATCAGTATAATATGCTGATTTGCTGCTCAAGAAACATTTCTGATTATTATCAATGTTGAACACAGTTGTGCTGCTTACTGAACTCAAACGTTTGAGTGCTATGGCAGTATGAGAAAGAAGAAGGCAGGCCTGAAATAAATGGAAGAAATTGCAATGCTTAATATGGTGATTGTAGGACAGAAAGCCCCGCCTTTAAATTAAACCAGCCAATCACCTTAAGCATCACAAGACTTTAGAATGCACATTAGCTGAACTAAACTAAAAATACTGTTTCTTTAGTGTGATTTCAGCTCAAGAAGGAGAATTTATGATACAATCTTTGTCAGTTTTATTGCCGATTTGTCTTTGATTTTTATAGAAACGCAAGCTTTTTTCTAGCTGGGCCCTATTTTCTTGACAGGATTATCCACAATATCCATTTCTCTGATATTTTCAGAGTGTGGGCGATGTGGCATTACCTTTTGAATTCATCATGACTGGACACAATTTGTCATATGTCCTGGTCTGTAATATGATGTTTTTTTCTGTTTTCAGATGCAGCAGCAGGAACTCGCCCAAATGAGACAACGAGAGGCCAACCTGACGGCACTCGCCGCCATCGGCCCTCGGAAAAAACGCAAAGTGGACTCGCCAGGAGCTACAACGACAGGCACTGAGGTACGACCCTCTCTACACCGAACCATATTACATGAGTGCGAACGGTTGCAAGCTGAGATATGAAATTGTATTATTTGATTTGATACCTTATTTTAAAGCATGGATATTAAGCACTGGTTGATATATGTTAGATGATATATAGAAAAGAATCCGAAAAAAATCAGTTCGAGGAAAAAAAAAAAGACAAAAATTTATATATATATATTTTTTATTTTTTATTTGTATTTTTTTTAGCTGTATTGACAAGCCTTACTGGATATTATGGAGATTGTTTGATATTTTACGTCATACTCTCGGGTGTCGATGCAGGGTTTGATGTTCGTTTGTTGCATTGTGAGCGAGTGTAAGTCTTTTTTCCAGAGCAAAAATAAATGGCAGAGGGTTTTCCCCTGCAGTGTTTGTCCAGTTTCCCACAGCAGTGAAGGGGACGCACTGCACGTCTGTCCTCCGTGAGCGTGCTACAGTGTTGTTTTGATGCAGATCGCAGTGCCGCTCCACATATGGCTACCAGCTCTGCTCTGCATTACGCAGGATTACGCCACGCACACTGGAGACATAAAGAAACGCCACTATTATATTTCCTCGACATGCTGTTGTACATGAAGTCATTGGGTTTAGCTGCATCTGGTGAATGTTTAGCTTTGCTCTTGCCATCAGAAGGCCTCTTCATATTCCCTGACGGATTCTGACTAATGTTTGAATACCATAAACCGGAAAAAAGCACTTTGTGAATGTCAGCTGGTCATTTAAAAAACCTGCTCGTTGACGTGTGTGTGTGTGTGTGTGTGTGTGTTTGGTCAAAGTCTTCAGTGAACACAACCTCAGTGAAAGCAGGCTAACTAAATAAATGCATTACTTCTGCTCTGTGAACACCATCCTGACCTCCTTTACTTTATTGTAACTGTCAACAAGAAGCATGAAATGTGTATGTACACACACAGATACCCTGCTTTTATGGGGTTTGTTGGTTTACAGCATTAACATCGCTCTTTTGTAGACAAAGTGTTCAATGTCAAATTAAAAATTTTGATCTCTGCAGTCATCAAATAATGACTCGTATGAAACCCAGAATAATTGATTTCATAAGTGCTTGCCTCTTTTTTGTATTAATGCAACATCTAATTCATCATTGGTGCAGCAAATTGGTAATATACTAAAAAAATCACTTCAAAAATCATAATTTTTGTCTTGTGTTCTAATTAAAATTTCTAAACATACTTGAGAAGCAGCATTGTGTTAGATGACCAGATAAAAAGACTTGTTTTCAGTATAAATACACCTAAAGTATAATTACACCTATATCTTGAAGGTGAATCTGTAATGTGGCAGAACTGTGGTTGACATTTTTATGATCCTAATGAAACTAGCATCAGATTAAACACCATTTGTGAATCATGATGGTCAGAATGTTTTACTTTGACATTAATGAAAACGTCTCTTCTGCTCAGCAAGGCTGCATTTGTTTAGTCAAAAATACAGTAAAAACAGTGAAATATTATTACAATTTAAAATAACTGTTTTCTATGTGAATATCAGTTAAAATTTAATTTATTCCTGTGATCAAAGCTGAATTTTCAGCATCATTACTCCAGTCTTCAGTGTCACATGATCTTCAGAAATCATAATAATATGCTGATTTGCTGCTCGAGAAACATTTCTGATTATTATCAATGTTGAAAACAGTTGCGCTGATGAATATTTTCGTGGAAATCGTGATAAGTTTTATTTTTCAGGATTCTTTGATGAATAGAAAGTTCAAAAGAACTGCATTTATTTGAAATAGAAATCATTTGTAACATTATAAATGTCTTTACTGCCACTTTTGATCAATTGAATGTCTTTGCTGAATTATTATTATTTTTTTTTAAAGTTATTGACCCTAAACTTTTGAACAGTAGTGTATATTGTGAATGTAGTCACAGCTTAAGGGCGTTTTGAATTTAATAATTATTCAGTACCATAGTGTATATCTAAGTACCATCTGATACCAGTGCCATGGTACTATTGGCTAAGGGTCTTGACTGTTTTGTGTGTTTCTGTTTTTTAATGGTTGGGTGTTTTTCTGCCCATCTGACCACCTCTCATGTTCACAAGAGAAGAGAAAGGCAGGATAGACAGAGGGAGGAATCTTAACTTATTTTCACTTTATTTTCACCTCCCCTTATTTCTTCATTTCGGCTGGGGCAGCATGCCACCCTGGGGCGTTTTCACTGCTTTCTCCAGAGCAAAGTGAATGTGACTTTTCTAAGGGGGTCACGGAGTGGCTGCGGGCTACGGCAGCGCCGCTGTACTCCGGCCTTCTCTGAGTTTCACTCTGGGGCTCGGCAGAGATTTCATCTGCGCACGAATGTGCCGTGGGGCGCGAGCTCAGGGTGAGCTGCACCGCTTCACTCACGGTTCTCTGATTGTCGGAGTATCCGGACTCTGTTCTGCCACGTTAATCCCAAACAAAAGCCTCTCAGTGTCTGGAAACGGCCACCAGACTGAGAGGGAGCAATAAGAGAGATGCTGAAAGAGAGGTTTAAAGCAGAATTATTATAGTTAACTAAAACTAAAACTGAAAAAAAATTCTTTACTTGAAACAAAATAAAATTTAGCTGAAATAAAATATAAAAGAAGTTACATTTATTTTGCCAAGTAAACATTTCTCATTTTCATTTAGTTTAATTAAATAAATAATTAATTATTAATTTAATAATTTATATAATTACAAAAAAGTAATTTAATTCAAATTTAAATTTAATTAAAATTAAATCTAAACAGAAAAAATTTAAATTTAAATAAAAAAACTCATTTAAAATATTATTAAAATACTATAAAATTACAAAAAAAGTAATTTAATTAAAATTAATTAAAATGACATTAGAATTAAATATAAACAGAAAAACTATCAAATTAATCTAATTAAAAAAATGAATAAAAACGAGCTATAATAGTATTTAAATGTTACTAAAACAGCGCTGGTTTAAATCTTGTGGGTTTGTCATTGTTCCCCTTGAGACATTGCTATTGCTCAGACATTGCTCCTTCTGAACTCAGGAGACCTAATGGAGATTTCAGTTATGTTTTATTTAAGTTTGTCTGTTGTTTGTCCTAAAATGACTAAAAAACATACACAAATGAGTCAGTAGTTGCCATATAGTTAGATTATAGAGTGCATTTAATCCTGGGAGAATTTGGTGAGAAATGAAGAGAACTGGTTTGTCGTCTTAATGTTTCATCAAAATCTAATTGGAACTTTTTTTAGGAGTGAATTAGATCCTGCCAATTTTATTTTACCGAAAATTCTGTTTTACGCAGAAATACATCATGTTATGTGCAATTGATATGGTAGAATTTGATGAGAAGTGTCTGAGTTTGGTGTCTTGACAAAATTGTGCGCATTGTTGAGATCTCTTGTGAAACTATGCAACACGTGTGAGATTACTGGGGTCATTCATGATGGTGTGATGATACTTTAATGGTAGTTTCTTCCTTTTTGAAGTTTGTAGCATCTCGTCACTATAATATTCTTCATGACTTCTCTTTTTATGTTTCATAGAAGAAAGAAAGTTGTACGGTTTTGGATCGACATGAGAATTTCTTAATTTTTGGGTGAACTACTGTGATGTTTCTGTCCTATGGATTACCCTGAAACGCCCCGTCAGAGTGTGTGTGTGACTGAAATCAGGTAGCGCTGGTGGCGGGGCGGCTGTGGGTGTTTCTTCTTCCTCCTTCACCCCTCCTCTCCTCTCGTCTGGCCAGGCAGCAGATCGCCGTGGGGCTGAACCTGATAGCCCATGTTGAGCATAAAGTCTGTCTCCATCCTGAGCCGGAGAGCGCAAACAAAGAGGCCTTACAGCGCTTTGAGGGATAGATTAGAGAGAGGGAGACAGGGGCCCCTAACTGGCCCTCGCTTGGGGTCATTGCGCAGGCAGGAGCCACAGTAACAAACTCTGTCCTTTTGCTCTCAGCGCACACATTGAGCTTTGAAGTTCAGCACAAAGACACTGTGTGGGACGCGAAACGGAGCGAGAAAGAGAAAAAGAACGTGTAAGTGAGTTTGAGTGAGTGAGTAAGTGCGGTTAAATTCACAGGTGCAGGAGCATGTGCTTCACTTTGACCTGGCTCGTAATGCTTCTATGGATCCGTGTGTGGTTTTGTAGTTGATTACAGCAAAATAATGACTGTATTAATTTATTTACATTTTTTTATTTATTTTGCATGTTTTTATTCAAAGCAACTTGAGTTCACCTCTATAAGCGCATGCAGAAAAATGAAATGAAACCAGTGTTGTTGTTGTTAACTGCAAATAAAACTATTAAAGAACATTTTCATAATTTAAGTAAAACTGAAGTAAGTATTAATATTTCTGAATGTCACCCAGTAGTGGAGAGTAAAACTGAAATTGCAACTAGGTTTTTGTATTTTCTCATGAAAATGTAAGTGTCGTTTACTGTACAAAAATCAATGCCATAATGCTAGCCATTTCTAGGGTATTTTGGGTGGTTGCTAAGGCATTGTTTGGGTGGTTGCTAGAGTGTTACTAGGGTATTCTGGGTGGTTGTAGGACATTGCTATGTGTTAACATGGTTACCAGGGTGTTTCTAGGTTATCATGGGTGGTTGCTAGGGTGTTGCTGTGTATTTGTGTGGTAGTCAGAATGTTTCTAGGGTTTTCAGGGTGGTTGGTAGGTGTTTGGGTGGTTGCCAGGGTGTTACTAGGGTATTATGGGTGGTTGCCAGGGTATTTTTAGTGTATTCTGAGTGGTTGCTTGGGTGTTGCTGGGTGTTTGTGTGGTTGCCAGAATGTTTCTAGGGTATCATGGGTGGTCACTAGGTTGTTGCTAGGTGTTTGGGTGGTTGCTAGGGTGTTTCTAGGGTTTTCAGGGTGATTTCCAGGGTATTACTAAGGTATCATGGGTGGTTGCTAGGGCATTGCCAGGCATTTGGCTGGTTGCTAGGGTTTTCAGGGTGATTTCCAGGGTATTACTAAGGTATCATGGGTGGTTGCTAGGGCAT